TTTAGGACTTGTCAACTCATTGATGAGCTGTGTGAGGCTCTTTTCCTTTCATGTCACTGAAATCTGTGACAGTTGGCAGGGCTTAGACTACCCAAGTATACAATGTACTCCTTTTCATAGTACCCTGGAGATCTGTTTCTGCCTTCTGAACAAAGTGTAATTTGCACCATAGGGGTACTTATGGTTCTCCCAGAACGATGGCTTAACATATTCATGGGTTAAGGAGAAGGAGAAGGAGAAGGAGGAAAGGGATAAGGAAAAGAAGAATTGCAATTGTTTCTTAGAAGTGGCTAACATACAATGGCTCTAATTTATCTCTTCAGAGGCATTTCTAAAGAATTGTCCCTATTTGCCCATGAAGTAGGTCAGTTTTCCAGAAAGAACAAAGGATGGATAGAGCTGACTGCTAATTCAGTGCTGAATTAACACACAGCATTACTTTATTCTTCTGGATAGTCCTGGAGGAAGGGATGGCAATGACATTTACATTTATTAAAAAGTCAGGGAGAGGGAATGGGGAAATGGTTGGTGAAAATGATGGAATTTGTTCAGATGGCCAAACTGACTTTCTGGATCAGAGAAAAGACAATATCTACATTGATTGCATCCTGGAAACCCCTTATAGACTCCTTGTGTGAAACAGGGTAAACTTATACGTGTATTTATAACTGCTATAAAGAAATGTGGAAATTGGAAGTTACTTCTTTGTATCATTGTTCTTTCTTTTCTATTTTTTTATTTTTCTTTCTTGCATTTTTAGTTTTGTCTTTGATTTCTTCCTCTTTCTTCTTGTTTTATATTAGTTTTTATGAGTTTTTATTTTCTTTTAAATTTTTTAAAATAAAATTATATTAAGAAAAACGCCCAGGAGATGCTAAAATGCATTTGGTGCTTACATAAACATGCTGGCAAATGTCCATTTTTAAACAGTTACCTACATTTAGTCATTGTAGGAGGAGAACCGTGTTATGGGGGCAAAAAATCAGAAGGCGTCTGGTAGCACCTTTTCTGACTAACAAATTGTTATCATGTGCCTGTAATTTTATTTTACTGCATTTAGTTAAAAAAAAAAACTATACACAAAAGAGCATGTTATCAGAATAAACCATAGGCAGTCTTAAGGAGCTTTATATATTTACTTGATTACATGCCATCAAGCCAATGTTAGCTCTTAAATACTGGATAGATTTTCTCCATGATGATCTGTTCCAAATCTGATCTTTCAGTTTTTCAGCCAAAGGTGCACTTGTTGCCATTTTAACTGAGTCCATCCACCTTGCCATTAGTCTTCTTCCTCTCTTTCCTTCCACTTTCCCCAATATTAGTGCTTTCTTCAGAAAGCTAGATCTTCTCGTAATATGTCCAAATTAGGATAATGTGGAGCTGATTATTTGCAACTCAAGTGAAAACTCTAGATTGTTTTGTTCAATGGTTCATTTGTTTGCTTTCTTGGCTGTCCACTGTATTCGTAGAATTCTTCTTAGGACTCAGAACCAAAATTTATATATATTTATATAACAGTATGTAAAGTTGGAACACACTGTACAGTCTTTTGCTTATAATCTGAGCCTGTGTTTCCCATCAAACCCTTTCTTGTGTGGTCCTATAATGGACAGCCAACCACAGCTGCCAGATTTCCCCTCCATGCCTCAAGAAGATAGATAATCCTGTTTCTCCCATCAGTTTGAGATGCATTTGTGCTCTAAACCCAGACCTTTTTTCCTCTGCTTCTCCCGAACCAAATTAATTCAAATTACAATCCTTTAGTTAGAAAGATGAAATTACATTTGAGTAAACATGGTTATTATGCTATAAGGATTTTCCAGAATATGAAAAAAATATGAAAGTAT